AGAAGGTATCCAACCACTGTTTGGAGACATAAACACATGTAAAGCCAACTGACCCAAATAGAGGAGGAATTAAAAAAAAAAAACAACGACATATTCATTCTTATTCTTCAATGTAGGCCAATTCTCTTTTACAGGGGCTCCTTGCAATTAGCCGGCAATCATATCCTGTGGGTCTCAAGGATTAAAGCAGGAGCAAAGAACAAAAGGAACTCATCTGCTACACTCCTCCATCAGTCCTTTCCGAACAAATCAGACTTCATCTCCTCCGGTGTCCCCTTACCAACCTCATCGTCTTTCCCCTACCCATAGTCCCTTAGGGGAAGGACTGTTAACATGAGAAAAAGCTACATAAATGAAATTCCTTCAGAATCGACACAGGTTTGAAAATGGCTCCAGAAACTAGAGGGTGGTCTTTATGGCGTTCTCATTTTGGAATTCTGGGCAAAGCACAGCTTTTTTGGATCACTGGATCTTTAAAAAATAAGTAGCAGTAGGTAATAAGCCATCCAAATTAAGTTTACCAGAAGTTTAGATATACTCCCTCCCTTCTTGCAGACAATTGAGGACAATGCTCCCAGAAGGTCACCACATTAAAGGAAGCATAGCCTGGGAATGGCAGACGTGACATTTGTTGAACTTACTGTTCCATCTGTCACTGACATGGGCCACGTACAAATCTCTAGAGCTCTTGGGGTCTTTAAGGGGCCTGCTAATCCATTCCTTTCCTTTACCCTTAGGCCATTCCAAACAGGAGGATCTATCCTGTGCTTAAAGACCTCCAAGGAGGAGTCCACAATCACTTAGCCAAATATTTAGAAATGAATTTCCCTATGGCCTTTCCCCATTGCTCTGAGTGCACATTCCTTCCCATAGTCCTGCAATATAGGAAGGATTATAGGAAGTGGAAAATATTGTGGCCCTGAGCTTTGAGAACTATATAAAGACAAAAGAGTTCTTAATCTTACTCAACCATCAATGCCATGATTTTTTTTTTTTTAAGATAGAGTCTCACTCTGTTAGCCAGGCTGGAGTGCAGTGGCACAACCTTGGCTCACCGCAACTTCCACCTCCCAGGTTCAAGTGATTCTCCTGTCTCAGCCTCCCAAGTAGCTGGGACTATAGGCACGCACCACCACACCTGGCTAATTTTTGTATTTTTAGTAGAGATGGGGTTTTACTATGCTTGCCATGCTGGTCTCGAACTCCTGACCTCAGGTTGATCCGCCCCCCTCCCAAAGTGTTGGGATTACAGTTGAGAGCCACTGCGCCCAGCATCCATGAAATTTTTAAATAAAAAAACTAGTTTATAAAGTGTAGATACAAATGTACTGCAAATTTGTTCTACTCAACCTTCTTCTATGGAAGTGAAGATGACAGATGAGTATTTACTTACCCATTAAACTTACCCTTATTTGGAAGCTCTATGGAACTGCTATAGGAACTAAGACTATTTATAATTCAATGAGGTGAACATTGGGAAAAAAATTAAAAATATGTAATTCCAATACCTAAATCTACAGAACCGCTGGATCAGAGAAGAGCTTAAAGACAAAAACAGGTTCTACAGATTAAACTCACTTCATACACAGCCTCAGGGACAAAATATATAATTAACCAAAAAGAAGAAAAAAGATTATTTTTGTCCTACACATGACCATGTGTACACAGATATAGGGCTTGAGAGCCACTGAGTCAAACCTAGAAAAATATGGACTGCTAATTTTGCTTCTTCAGGTCACCAGCCCCCACTATGTTCATCAACTATATAGTACCAAAGCATGCTAGTAATAAATAAATGGCAATAAATAAAAAGTTAAAAATAGTTGGTGAAAATGTTCTCTGCAATCACTGATTTATCTGCAATCTGTTAAAATATAAACTGGAAATAAATCATATACATGAAAATACTCAGTGTTGATAATCAGAGAAAAAAGCAACATCCAAACACAGCAAGTGCCAAATATGGCCTATGAAATGTTCTGTCAAAATAAAGATGTGGAATCAGGAAGCAGATGGCAAAATTCTAAAACCTCTCTTAAGGAGCATTTTAGGGATTTCTGACTGTTCTGCAAATGAAAAGAGGGATGTTTCATCAAGAGCAACTCTGGCCCAGTTATGATGATAGGTTGCTCCAATCCTCCCCAACTTGGCTCAGGAAGTAACTAGCTTAAATGGGGGAGGGGGAGNAGGGGAGGGGGAGGGGGAGGGGGAAGGGGAGGGGGAGGCAAAGCAGCTCTCAGCAGGGGACACAAATGCAACCTAACTATGCAAGGTGAAAATCACTCTAGCTTTGGCGTTTTGGATGAATTTCATTAGAATCAGGCTGGGTTTCATAACCAGAAAGCAGAACTTCCTTAGTTTTATACTTTTTCTAATAATGCTTTGCCAGGGAAATCATCTATTTTAGAGATTTCTTTTAGATTTTTGACCTATTTTCTTGTTTCCCAGGCTGCGTATATAACTCTCGAACCTTCCAGACAACTAAAGAATAACAATGAATACTGACATCTTCCCAGAGCTCCAGCACTCATCTTTGTTAAGACTTAGAGGAAACCACTTTTCTCAGTTTTGATATCTATAGATCTGCAATCACTAATGGATGGGAAAAAGTCTGTGAAACATTTATTTCCTACATAAATGATTAAAATTAGCTGCTTTTAGAACAGAATGAACATACAAAGCAGGTTGGATGACCTCTATTTCACACAACTGCATCTCAACTGGGTAAAATCATGCAGAAATGCAAGAGAATCCTCTATATTCATATGTTCTGTATTCAGGTTTAAGAGATGTGCATTTATATTTACATTTACATTTTATTAATTCATCAATTGATAAACTTAAGAATTAAAACTACCAAAATCAGAAGACAATGCTTCTTCGATGTAAAGAAAAAAAGAAACAAGCTTTAAGTAAAAACAGGTATGAAAATTAACATAAAACCTTTGAGTAATGTTTATCCTACAAACAGAAAATTCTGAGAATAACTGGAGGACTGAGGGGATTCAAATGCCACGCAGTAGATGGACTATTTCTGATTTTATAGTCAGGAAAACTGGCCTCGGGAGGACAGCTCTCAATTCATATACTTTACATAAGAGCAGTTCTTTCCATAGGCCATAAAGTTGTAGGTGATACAATAAACCGGGTTATAAAATGGCTTCTTTTTAGAATGGAGATGATACAAAATCAATTTCTACAACCATCATTTCCTCCTGAAAACCTCTTTTACTCTCAACCCAAACTTAACTCTCCCCTTTGGGAATTCCCAGTGTATTTCTTTGAGATGTCTTCCTTGTTAACAGTAGAGCCTAATACAAAGAACCAACATGCAGAGGCTACTTGTCGAAGAGCGCCTTCTGTAGGTAGTCTAAAAGAACACAACTATACACATACACAAATGTGTACAGGTTTATGCAAAAGGAAAAAGGATAGGCAAGAGTGCTGTACTACTGGCTTAACAAACGCCGTCACCCAAACCACCTTATCCATCTTATAGGCTAGAAATACGATTTAGGCTTTAAAATATGCAAAAAAAAATTTAAATATACCAACCATCTATGAAAGCATAAGTTACCTTCTGTTATGACACTCATCATTCCTCAAATCATCTTCTAAAAGCCTAAGAGATGAAAATCTTCTAAATAGCTGAACCACTCACAGAATCTGAAAATTATTACACTACATTTTGCATGATTAACCTATATTCACCACTGAAGTTTAACCAAGAATCAGATTCAAGTAGGTAATAGGGGTCTTAATTAATTTTTCATAAAACATATGCTCCTACTGGCCAGATGAGGTGGCTCACACCTGTAATTCCAGCACTTTGGGAGTCCGAGGCGGTGGATTGCTTGAACCCAGGAGTTCAAGCCAGCCTGGGCAACATGGCAAAACCCTGTCTCTGCTAAAAATGTAAAAATTAGCTGGGTGTGGTGGCACATGCCTATAGCCCCAGCTACTTGGGAGGCTGAGGTAGGATGGCTTGAGCCTGGAAGGTGGAAGTTGCAGTGAGCCGAGACCACGCCCCTGCACTTAAGTCTGGGTGACAGAGGGAGACCCTGTCTCAAAAAAAAAAAAACCAAAAACCAAAAAACATCTATCCATCTATCTATTTATACATACATACATATACACACCCTCCTACTTTACATAAATATACAGTTCTTAGCATGTTTTAAGTTAAAATTAAATTACTGATGTTTACAAGAAGCAGGGCCAAATGATTTTTTTCATTTTATGTCAATGTTTACATGCCAACCCTCCAGAAGGCTGGGACAATGGGAAGAGGGCATTGGACTGAATGTAAAGCCTGAGGCCAGGGCTCCATTGTTAGGGTCTAGTTTTGTTGACTCTCACTCCACAATCTTGCCACCTCAGGCAATCACTCAAATGGAAGTATCACTTCTATTAATCCTGATACTCTACTTCAGTAGTGATTTATTTCTTCTTTTGAATGTAAACCACTTATAGCTAAGTAGAGTTTATTTTAGTATAAGAACACAGTGAAGACCAATCAAAATTTCATCTGTGTTACTAATGACTCATGGTGGGCCAAGCTCAAGTCAGATATGCAAAAAGAAAGCGGAGAAAAATAATATCATTTACCTCACCAAAAATTTTGTTGTTTTTTTAAAACTCTAAACAAAATTGATCCTATTAGTAAAGACATTCATTCTTGGCTGGGCACAGTGGCCCATACCTATAATCCCAGCACTCTGGGAGGCTGAGGTGGGTGGATCACCTGAGGTCAGGAGTTCAAGACCAGCCTGGCCAACATGGTGAAACCCTGTCTCTACTAAAAATACACAAAATTGGTCGGGCGTGGTGGCTCGTGCCTCTAATCCCAGCTACTTGGGAGGCTGAGGCAGGAGAATTGATCGAACCCAGGAGGCAGAGGTTGCAGTGAGCCAAGATCGCCCATTGCACTCCAGCCTGGGTGACAGGGCGAGACTCCGTCTCAAAAAAAAAAAAAAAAAAAAAAAAATCATTCTTATTTTTTTTTTAACAAGCAAATTTTCATGCCTTTTATTTCTATACAAAGCAATGTAACTTTCTGGGAAAAAAAAAAACAGGCTATAAAGAACCTTTAAACATAAGAGTACAGAGTTTCAAATGGCAACAAGGAGTTAAGAAATATAGGGCACTGTGTTGTTATGAGTGAATCCTAGTTGCCCTGTGGCCCAAGGTCCAAGCTAGTTTACTCCATAACCTTAGGTAAGTAACAGTGGTTCCTCTGAATACCTTTCCCAAACCATTTATTATAAAAACTGACCCTTTATCCATTATCAGTATTAACATATCAAAGTGAGAAAGAAAATGGGAGAGAAAAATGAGAATTAACACTGCAGCATGAAAATTTTCATCCTGAATACCAGTAAGGACTCTAGATGATACACCGTGCCAACTTTATGTATGTCAAAAGATTTGAATTTTCAGAACATTTAAATGACTAAAGAGAAATCATTCTCTAGACTAAGTATTTTAAAGCATATTAAACCATAGGTTTACATTTGACAAAATCTTATGGACCACCAAATGCATAGAAATAGGAATTCCAAATATTTCAGTTCGTTGAATACACAAAACCAAATAAGGCACAAGGACCTAAAGAATAAACACAACACTAGTATACAATGTTTGAGTTAACGTGATTTAGGACCCTTCTATTTTATTCTGCAAGATAATTTACACAGTTCTCTCTGCTATACATGTCCACATTTATTCAGATTATTAGAGACCTTTTCATTCTGGAACTTACAACATTATAGGCCATAAAAACTTCCAAAATTTATTGTTGGTATAATCTGATTCAAAATTAAAAAGAAAAATCTTCAAAGAAACTTTCATAAAACTACCTCCTTCTGCATTGTCAAATATAACTTCTGAACAAGAACACACTATACTATTGTTCATAATAATCAATTAATTTGTTACTTCTAACAATTTTTTTTTTTTTTTTTTTTTTTTTTTTTTGAGACGGAGTTTCACTCATGTTACCCAGGCTGGAGTGCAATGGCGCGATCTCGGCTCACCGTAACCTCCGCCTCCTGGGTTCAGGCAATTCTCCTGCCTCAGCCTCCTGAGTAGCTGGGATTACAGGCACGCACCACCATGCCCAGCTAATTTTTTGTATTTTTAGTAGAGACGGGGTTTCACCATGTTGACCAGGATGGTCTCGATCTCTTGACCTCGTGATCCACCCACCTCGGCCTCCCAAAGTGCTGGGATTACAGGCTTGAGCCACCGCGCCCGGCCCACTTCTAACAATTTCATAATAATTGTCAATTATTATGAAATATCAATCCAGGAGGCTTTTAATTTTCCTGTTTGGCTTTCAAACAACCCATACTTCTGTGCCTTATATTCTGACACCCTAAACAACTTCCTATGCTGATTCTGGATATTCATACACAGCAGAAGAATAGACATTTGCAGCTATCAGACTGTGCTGGTGCTCACTGTGTAGTAATTTGGCCATCTTGATGTATTTTTTCTTTATATTTCTTAAATAGAAAATGAAAACAATCAAATGGCTGATATCATAAAAACCATCAGTCTCTAAATTCAAGACCAAGACAAGAATGGAAATCACGAGAAATGAGGAATCTTTAATTTCAACTGACTGGATGCTCACAGGACGCAAACCAGTTGATGCATTCAACTGAGAAAAAGAACAAATGAGAACATGCACAAAACACTGGAAATAAATTATCTAAAATTACGTCTAAAAATTAAAGTATAATTAGGAATTCCAGAATGATTTAATATCTCTACAACTCCTTTTTTTTTTTTTTTTTTTGAGACGGAGTCTCGCTCTTGTCGCCAGGCTGGAGTGCAGTAGTGAGATCCAGCTCACTGCAACTTCCGTTTTCGAGTTTCAGGCAGTTCTCCTGCCTCAGCCTCCCAAGTAGCTGGGACTACTTGGGAGGACTACACCACCATGCCCGGCTGCTTATTTTGTATTCTTAGTAAAGATGGGGTTTCACCATGTTGGCCAGGATGGTCTTGATCTCTTGACCTCGTGATCCGCCCACCTTGGCCTGCCAAAGTGCTGGGATTACAGGCGTGCGCCACCACGCCCGGCCTCCTCTCTACTTTTTTTAGTCCATTATCGTTTGCAGAACCAATGTTCATGTACATTTTTAGGAATGTATTGAGTAGGATAAGAAAGAAGGGGACTTCTTGTGCTGAAAATGAAGAAAAAAAATTGACCCAACATTAGTTGTTTAATCACATCTACTGAGTGATTCTCTAAGATTCGAAAAAATTGCCTTAGCAGTCAACAAATACAAGCCAAGAAAGCACTAATCTACAGTAAAAGGTGCTACACAAGAGATATTTATTAATGTTCTGTTGTATTTACAGTTTTAACATAGCAAACCAAGGTGAATTACCACTTGGGCAGAAAGCACATCATTCTACATTATAACCCACTGGTTTCTGCTAACACATTGTAAAAGCAAGTAGTACAGTTTGTTAGGGATCATCTCAAAAGTTCCAAGCTAATTCTTTCTTTGCTCCTAAGTACCTAATCCTCTCCTTACTCCCAGCCTTTGGACTAATCATCAGGAGACAAAAGGAAAAAAAAGGGGGGTGGGGGCGGGGGACTCTAATTATAGAAAGAGTGCCAAGAATGACATTTTAGTAATTAAGCTTCATTTATATCCTAGTCCTTTCTATTTTATATAGTGACAACACCTTTAGAATCCCTCAGGTACAATAAGGTATTGCAAAATTGTGGATACAGGCTATAAAAAATTAATGCTTATTATTTACCAATTAAAGACATATTTTGACCACACCTTAAATGTATTTTTGCACTATGATTTTGCTTCCAGGTGTTCACACAGTACAATGGAATAAATTTCTAGATTAACTGGAACAGCAAATAGTTAAAACAAAAGTTTAACTTTTGAGAAAATCCCTTTGAAATGGCCAGCATTATACATATCTTACAATAAAATATTTAATTCCAAGTTCATTTTGAGATGGAGGATGAATAAAGCAAGACTGCCCCCTACTGACTACAGGGACATGGCTCATGCTACTTAAAATGACTACAAACAATATATAAGGCATTATTAATACATCACAGACTTGATTGCAAGAGCTTTTTCAAACATTAACCACTAATGATTCAATGATTACAGAATTCTGCATTAACTATTAAAATTTTACACCTAGGAACAAATAGAGAGAAATGATCTTTTCAACAGTACTTTATTTTTTTAAAGCAGGTGATTCTTCCTCTGTTCTGCATCTTGATTCATTCACTTCCTGCAGGTGCTCTCTTGCTTCTTGAGAGAGAATTCATAAATGCAGGAAGGCCTTTGCCAGAAAACATCTGCCAGAGAAGGATATTGAATATTGAAACTCTAGTTAGCTTGTTATTTTGGCTAAGAGAAGGATGAAGTCACAAAAGAAGGCAGGATGTTTGGAGACACAAGTGCATTTTAACATAGTTTTAAGATTACTGTATACTGACATCGTGGTATTCAATAAACATTAAAATTTCAATTCTTAAAGTTAACAAGGCCTCTAGAACTAGAAAAGGCTGGAATGCTTTTTCTAAAAACTTCTGAGGTCAGGAGTCTCTCTTTCCAAACCTCTGAACAAAAGAATAGAATGGAAGCAGTGCTGCTGCACCCCACACTTAACCCTGTCAGCAATGACTGAAACTTGGGACAGAGAGCATCATCCAAGTGCACGGGTAATTTTCCTAATATACCTGAAGCTATTGTTTGCTCTAACAATTCCACCAGATATTGCACAAGAAAGATTTCCAGTAAGGATGACAGCAATGTCATGCTATACCCTCAATAGAGCACGACAAAATTAAAAAACAAGGGTAAACTTATAGGTACCACAAATACTTTAAAAAAAAAAAACAAACAAGTTTTCTTAAAAAGTCATTGTATTTTAGGGGCATATTTGTCTTAAAATATGTAGTTTCAAACTAATTTTAAGAAAGTAATACATTCTGGAGCCATTTGTTCATTAAAAAGAATATGAATTAAGAGAAAAAAATTTTCTTAAAGTTTTTTATTAAAAAAATAAAAAAGAAAAAGAAAAAATAGAAGAATATACATGAGTGAAATAAATGCTGTCAAAATAATGCCTACGCATTTTACTAAATGCATTTTTCATCTAATACTTTGTGGCATTTCTGTATTAGTATATTGTTTTGGTTCTCATGAAAATAACTTGGGAAAATTACAAGTAATTCCCTATATTAACAATAAAAGAAGAAGCAATAAAGAGATACATTTACTGCTTAACAAATATTTATTAAGAAACTATTTGTGGTACACAACAAGTGAGAGTTGGATGAGCTCACATATAGACCTATAACTTACTTTTCTATCCTCTAAATTACTGTAAAAGCCACAAGAAACTCTTCTGTGTCTTTTTTTTTTTTTTTTGTAGACAGACTTTCTCTGTCACCCACACTGGACTGCAGCGGCACAATCTGACAAATGGGAACCGCTGAAGTTTTTTTTTTTTTGAGTTTGTTGTCATTGGTTTCCTTCTCTCTCTCTCTCTGTCTCTGTCTGTCTCATGGGTGCATTTTTTTTGTAGACAGAGTCTGTCGCTCAGGCTGGAGTGCAGTGGCATGAGCTCGGCTCACTGCAACCTCCACCCCCAGGGCTCAAGCGATCCTTCTGCCTCAGCCCCTCAAGTAACAGTAACTGGGACTATGCCCAGTGTCTTCTGTACCATTTCTGATTAGATTACTGCATAAATATTTAAAAGGCTGCCAAAATGCAGACTACAAACACAGTGGAGGAAATTAACATATTCTAATATTATCAACATTTTTCTAAACTATAAATTCAGTTGTGTTGTGATTTGAAGTAAACCACTGAAACGGATACAAGGACATCTTTTTTTTAGATTGAGAGACATAAGAGATTGAAAGACCTCAGAAAGCACAGAGATGGAGACTCAAGAATATAAGGAACTCTATTTCTTTTTCTTTCTTTTTTTTAAAGATGGGGTTTCTCCATGATGGCCAGGCTGGTCTTGGAACTCCTGACCTCAGGTGATCCACCCACCCTGGCCTCCCAAAGTGCTAGGATTACAGGCGTGAGCCACCGCGTCCAGCAAGAATATAAGGAACTCTAAAAGCCAAGCAGAAGCAGAAAGAAAACTTGCAGACGAATATTAAAGTTTTTGTAATGAGGCCAGACTCATTATAAGCATAAGTAATTTCTGCTTTATCAGTTTCTATTAATAGATGAAAACTGATGAAACAATGACTATTAGGTCAAAACAGAGTTTGCAAGAATATACAATGTGGTACAGACAATTACCTGGCCACTTCCTTAGTTTATGATGCTTTTGCATTGGTAAACAGCTTTAATAGATCCCTCAAAGTCAAAGGCTGCCACCCAACAAACATTAAAAATCCCTTTGCTTGTTCAGCAAGAAAAGCAAAAATTAAATTAAATTAAATTAAATTAAAATCTCTCAAGAGGACCTAGATAGGTCACCAGTGGGTAATCACAATCACCATACAATCTCCAAATGAAAGATTGCTAGAGGGCACTGCTGTCTGAGACCTGGAGGCTTGACTGGCAGTGTTACACTGATAGTACACAAACTAAAGGCCAAACAGATACTAGGGATTCTGGACTGCATTACTAAATTGTAGATCAGATCACTTTTTGAAAGAAAAAGGAACCCAATAGCCTACAGATCATTTAACTCCAAGAGGAAGACAATCAGTTCTTCTTGAAGACATTATGTAGATTTTAAACAGCAAAAATTCTACTGAAAACACCATTTCTACTATCTTGTTATCTTATAACACAGTCCAATAAGTAAATCTTTACCTTGAGATGAATTTCCTTTAATAAAATAAAAGAGGTATTAAGGAACAGGAGGAAAATTATGTAAAGGGAGAAATGAAAATGTCTGTTATCATATGGAAAAAAATTAAAATATTTGATGCCTAATAGGTATGGCTCACCACATCACTTTTTAAATTATGAAGGCCCTAGCTCATTAATGCTAGGGCTCAAAAACCTCTTTTTTTCCTTCTATTTCAGATGTGGTTAAAATAAATAATTTTAAAATATATTATGCTTCATATGTACAAGTACTTTCGGTACCACACAGTGTTAGAACCAATCAACTGTGTTACCACTGGTTATTGTAGCTAACTCTTCATCCACCTGGCAGCATCAGAGGAGGTGGCAATCCATAAAAATGTATTTTCCAGTGAACTGGTAAATAAGAAAAAGTATAAACACTACAGTTTTTACCAGTTCAGGAATAGATGTCTCCAAAGTGCTTGGATTACAGGCGTGAGCCACCATGCCCGGCCGTTTCTAAAAGGTGTATGTTTCTTCTACTTCCTCAGTCACATATTTTATTTACTTATTTTTTGAGACAGAGTTTTGCTCTGTCACCCAGGCTAAAGTGCAGGGGCATGATCTTGGCTCTCTGCAACCTCTGCCTCCTGGATTCAAGCGATTCTCCTGCCTCAACAGCCTCCTGAATAGCTGGGGTTACAGGCATACACCACCACGCCCAGCTAATTTTTGTATTTTTAGTAGAGAAAGGGTTTCACCATATTGGCCATGCTGGTCTCGAACTTCTAACTTCAGGTGACCTGTCTACTTCGACCTCCCAAAATGCTGGGATTACAGGTGTGAGCCACTGCACCTGGCCTAGTCACATACTTCTTGATGGCCACTGTGCACACCTTTAGCAATTCCTTCTGGCATTTCGTTATGAAGTAGGAAACCAGATAATAGCTTATTAATGCACTTTTCCTCCCTTAAGCTTAAATGGACTCTGAAAGGGAACCTGAGAGCTGCCCCTACGATAGTAATACATGAGTTTTAGCGTTGAGCTTTTGTAACATCTACTTTGGCTGATTAGAAAGAGGTGTTCGGGGATCACTTCAAGATTGGTTTATTTGTACTATGTTTTAGGTATGCTGACTAGAAAAGTCACTGTTCTTATACCCTTTTCTAGTAAAATGCCAAATCTTAGTACAATACGGAAAGTATGTTACTTTTTATATTACAGCGAAGTTATTTTAAAAATTCTCTACCTATATCTTTCTGGCAAAGTTATTTTAAAAATTCCCTACTTGTGTCTTTCTTCAGCTAGCTTTTAATTAGTGACATCTCCATCAAAGAAGGAGAAGTCCATAAAAGAAAATAAAGCTTTTGGGAACACTGACCCCATTTCCTAAAGTTTGCGTTCTCTGATTGGCCACTCCTAGCTTTCTGCTTGTATAAACTCTGTATTCTGATCCTTTTTGATTACTTCAGGTTGACAATGTCAAGAGAGGCAATTTAGCAGAGTAGTCACTAGTTTACCAGTGATTCTCCTCAGCAGGAGTCAGCCTAAGTTTTTTTAAACTACATTTTTCCTCTCCCCTATCCTGATCTCCCTAGAAGAATCACTGTATATGACAGTTAGAAATAAGATCAAAGTTATCTTCTAGTAATTTGACTGTGTCTGCTAGGCAAAAACTTCTGACAAAATTAAGAATCATAATCTCTGCAACAAACAAATGATTGGCCAGATGTATAAAAACAGGAAAATGTAACCCAGAGTCAAGAGAAAAAGTCATCAATACAAATAGACTTATAGACAATCTTGATGTTGGAATGAGCAGATAATGACTTTTAAAAAACTGTGATAAACATAATAAAGAATCAACAGGAAGGGAAAAAGAAATAAAGCTTTCATACTTTACATGACGGTTTTCTAGTATGTCTTCTAACAAAATTAAACTAAATGTCCTCCAAACTAGAGAAAGAAAGGATTGTACATTTTGGATCTGGACAGAGTTCTTACCCTTTCAATGGACAAAGGGAACTCAGTCCCATAGGATATTACGGCTTTTCAGGTTCCCTCTGGGGAATCCCTGGAAAATTAGTTAAGTCATTAGAACTCTAAATTCTGCTGTAAGTCCCCCAAACTCTTAATTAAGACATCTGAATTCTCTGGGTGTGTCAGGAACAATTTCAAATAAACCAGGGTATCACAGGTGAATAGAAAAGCAAATAAACTCTATTACGCCCTCCAATGGAGTGCATTCATTTACCTCTGAGTACATTTCTGACAACTCTTAATGTAAACTCCTGAAGCACCAGCAGGCTCATCACTTCAATCTCCTTTAGCAGCTCTTACAGCATTATTATTACTAAGGACTGCCTACTTCAAATCACAACCCCATATGCGTTGTTTTAAATTTAGAACATCGAAAACCATTTCAGAAATTTTAGAAAATCCAAACAAAAACAACAAAATTTTCAGTAAAGTACCAAACAACACAGGAAAACTGAGAAGTTCGGGCTTTCTCTCAACCTGGCTGCTATTTTTTATGCTTAGAACCAAGATGAAGAAGGTATGTAATCCTCTGATAAAGATTCACATTTCCTTCTAACTGAATAATGAAGAGAATAGACAGAGGTGTGATCTCAGTCCATTTAGAAATTCAGAGCTAACATTAATCCATTACTTTTTTAAAAAGAGGAAGAAATCCATTACTTTTTTAAAAAGGGGAGGAAATCTGTCCCCTCAGGATATTTTGGGTGTAGACGTATTAAGGGAAAATATTAGGCAATCTCCGCACCCTTCATAAGGAGGACTTGTAGCAACTCAATAGTACTAACTTTTGAATCCTTCATAGGCAAGAGTTAAACCTAAGGCTAACCATAAATTCCAATCAGACATACAGGTGAAAGATGACAATGGTAATTAAATAAAACTGCAAACAACATCCAGTAAGCCTCTTATGTTCTAGACATAAACAAATACACATCATAGGCATTAAGGCCCAGGCCAGTGGTGTCAGTGTTCATTTGTGTCCAGACTGTGTGACTGAATTCAAATTCATGACGTGCTACCCTTTTTTTTTTTTTTTTTTTTGAGACAGAGCCTTGCTCTGTCTCCAGGTGGAGTGTGGAGTGCAGTGGCGCCATCTCAGCTCACTGCAACCTCCGATTCCCAGGTTCAAGCGATTCTCCTGCCTCAGCCTCCTGAGTAGCTAGCTGGGACTACAGGTGTCCGCCACCACCACACCCAGCTAAGTTTTTGTATTTTAGTGGATGGAGACGGGGTTTCACCATGTTGGCCAGGATGGTCTCAATCTCCTGACCTCGTGATCCACCTGCCTCGGCCTCCCAAAGTGCTGGATTACAGGTGTGAGCCACCGTGTCCAGCCCGATATGCTACACATTTTTAAACATGCAATCAAAGATTCCCGTTTTGTAATAATAAATACTAGTATACATTTCAAGCAGTCCAAGCCTTCTTTACTTACATAAGTACGTTTAATTATGTCCAGGTAAAATGCCTATTATATTAACTGACACACGGAAAACACCATGAATGTTAATTTTAGCTTCTTATGCTATGCTTCAAAAAATGTGTTATATTCAAGATGGTCTCATTATACTATTCTGTTGCCTAAAAGCTTTCAATGCTGTTCTATCACCTGGAAAATCAACTATGGTAGATGTTTTAATTTCCTGAAGCATGCCTCCTGAGACCACCACAAGTCTTCAAAATTGAGAACCCCACTCTTAGCACATGATTGCCCATATAAACTGATACTCTGCAAGTACAGAAAAAATTAATGTTCCACATGGGCTTAGTCTTGCATTGACCCAACATGTCACTGGCTCTATTAATTTGATGGTTCTACTACAAATAGGCTTGGTGCTCAAGGTATCTGCAAAATCTGTTTCAACCTGACTTTTTAGCCTTGATCCTCAATATTCCTTTATGCCCCAATCAAGCTGCTGTCCTTTAAATAAGCTCCATATTTCCCCATTTTTGTTCTTCACTCTACCTCAGACAATTCTGAAATTCTTCCCCACACTCTCCATTATTACAAAAAACTATTGATAAAGTCAAATTAGAAAAACTGCCATAGAGAAATCGTTACTTCCTGCTTTGACAGTGTGAAAGAGGCAGGGGCCTTAGCAGTCATCAGAAAACTAGGATATTTGGCTATTTGACTGAATCCAAGGTTTGTCTAAACTACTACACCTACCCTTTACAATGCTTTGCCTAAGGCCTTCAACTGGACTGGCCTCTAGATGGTGCTCAAGGTTCCACTCTATGATCAACACAGTCCCCAAAAGTCCCAAGGAACAGTCAAGTCCAAGAAGGTCTATTAGAACTTGTTAGCAGAGAGGGGCTCTGTCTGGTGTACTCTTTCTCAAGATTCTCCACCTCTTCCTCTAGGCAGCCACTGATGTAAGACGGAGTGTCAGCCTCTGCAGAAAATCAAGTGTGAATCAAAGAGCCTTGACAGGGCTTAGTCCTCCAGTTCTAGGCAAGGGAAAAGGTCCTTTCTCCTCTTCCTTTTCTTGGGTTTGACCTTCCTCACATTAGAGTGATATCAAGATGTCAATTTGAAGAAAGCCACCAGGAAAGCCTCAATGACAATTTTAAGAGATGGAAGATTTGGTGGGCTTGTCAGCAGCCCAGATAAAAAAGTTCCTAAAGTACTACACAGTTCTGGGGTTTAGGGGTAGAGACGAGTGATTAGGCTTGAAGGGTTCCTTCTAATGTCACCCTCTGGAACTGAGGCCATAGTAAGCAGTGGCTTCAGGATGTTGGATTCAGTCAAATAGCCAAATATCCTAGTTTTCTGATGACTGCTAAGGCCCCTGCCTCTTTCACACTGTCAAAGCAGGAAGTAACGATTTCTCTATGGCAGTTTTTCTAATTTGACTTTATCAATAGTTTTTTGTAAAATTCCCTGTTATTAGACAAGAAACTGCTAAAAGGCAGGGACTGTGCCTTCCTTACCTTCTCTATATTCCCCTACCACAGATACTTACTCTAAAACTGAATAGACCTCTACAATGTAGCACATGGTTGCACTAAGACTAGAATACATTTTTTTCCTTTAATACCTTTAATAAATAAAGAGAACTCTGGTCCTGGGGAGGTTTGATAACGTTTCTGGCATCTTCCGAACTTTTGCATAATTGATAAATCCTCTGAGAAACAGGAGAAAACCTAATTTAAAAAAGAAAAGTCATGAATGAATTTATATTTTCCATGTTAAGTCCCCTCCCCAGAAATCCCTCTCCTGATATCAATACATTGTTATTTTTCTGCTAAAGGTAATCAAAACATGAGCAATTTCCTCTGGAATCTGGAAAGGATTTTCATACCAAATTATCCATCCTTCAATGAGAAGGTATAATCCAAGAGTCTATAGTGTCTTTTGCACATTCAGAATTGAATTGGTCTAAAGGAGATAAAAAATAATATGGGGCCAAACATTTATGAAAGCTTCATTGAGAAACATATCAAAATCTACCTATTGAGTTCCAAAAAAGCATTCCAAGATAATTAGCTCCAAACAACAACAACAACCAAAAAGAGGTTATAACTGTGTTTTTCTCAAGTAAAAAGAAAAAAAAAATGTAACCTTCCTTGTCATGGACTGTTTTCTCTGTTGACAATATATAATGTTGTCCACTAGATGTCAGGATCCCCTTATCTATTATAGCAATTCTGTCTCAACTTGAAACTAGTTCCTTCTCTCTCTCTCTCTCTCTCTCTCTCTCTCTCTCTCTCTCAACAGACAGGGTCTTGCTCTGTTGCCTAGGCTGGAGTGCAGTGGTACGGTCACAGCTCTGCAAGCTTGAACTCCTGGGCCCAGATGATCTTCCTGCCTTTGCCTCCCAAGTAGCTAGGAAAACAGGTTTACATCACCATGTCCAGCTAATTTTTAAATTTTCTGTAGAGATGGGAGTCTCACTATGTTGCCCAGGCTGGCCCTGAACTCCTAGGCTCAAGTGATTCTCCTGTCTCAGCTTCCCAAAGAGTTGGAATTACAGGTGTGAACCATGTACCCAGCCTATTTCTCTATTCATAATAAGACTCCTTTTGTGTGACTACACCACAATCTATATATTCATGAAAGTTTGTACCTCTCAAAACTGTCAGCAGAGAGGTGATATGCCCCTCAGTGGGAACTCAGACACTCCTCCTGGCCTTCCTCTTTCAGAGATGGTCTCTGAGCCTTTAACATATTTTTTTAAAAACACTTTTACTGGGATATTCAGTGGTAGAAAACTTTGTACACGGACAGTTAAACTGATTTTTGGCAGTAACCAAGAGCTGTCGGCTCTGAGCTTGGGGAACATCATTCTGTTTGGTACCCAAAGCGACACGTGACTATAGAGCAGGGGTCACCCTTTCAAATGCTAAGTTGGGGTACGGTGGTGGGATATTCCTGAACTGGAAGGCACACGACCTTTATGGAGGAGATAGCTACAACTCAGCTCCAGCCAAAGGGTGCCACGTGGAATGTAGGCTAGCTTTGCTTGATATTCCAACTTTTAAGAAATATAAAAACATTCAGATGTTTCATGTGAAGTAATTTTGATTTTTAACATGTTGGTAACTAATTAAAAAAAATTAATAACTGTGAAACAAATAAACTATAGGCTAACTGTGGCTGAAGAGTGGCCAGCTTGGGAGCTCTGCAAGAGAAATGCCACAAAACTGGTTCTCTTAAAAAAAAGTTTCCAAAATGACTCGAACATTGAGTACCAATGTTCATAAGTGTATCCAAACTCTTATTTTTTGCTTACAAGCAAATGGTACATAGCAAGAAGGATCAATTATAAAGTATTATAAATCCATCTTCCATGAAACTTTAATATAGAAAGGAAATCAATCCATTAAATTTCTTTAAATTATTTATGCCATAAACAATCAATCTGAACATATGCTGAAGGGCTCTCTTTGGTCCATTCAGGATTTGACTTGGGGAAAGAGGGGTGGTCAGCCTTTCTCTTAAAGGTACAGTTTAGAAAATAAGCAAAGCCAAGGAACTATTTCTTCTAAATTATTCTCCTGTTGGTCATTTTTATTATTAAAGTTCTCAACAATAAAGAGAGGAAAGAAAATGACTATTCCACTTTCCTTAGAATTCTCATGACCAGTCAGAGTAGATGATGAGTCATAGAGTAGAGGTGGCAGATGGTGTGACGAATGACTTGTATTTTCTAAGTAAAGTGTAGGGTCAGCAATGTCAGTCTTGGCAAAGCAGGTCCTGAATTATTTTGTTTTGTTTTGTTTTTAGAGACAGTGTCTTGCTATCACCCAAGCTGAAGTACAGCAGTGCCATCATAACTCATTGCAGCCTCCAACTCCTGTGCTCAAGAGGTCCTCCTGCCTCAGTCTCCCAAGTAGCTAGGACTACAGGCACAAATCACCATGCTTGGTTAATTTTAAAAAATTTTTCACAGAGACGAGGTCTCACTATGTTGCCCAGGCTGGTCTTGAAATCCTGGCCTCAAGGTGAAATCCTCCTGCCTCAGCCTCCCAAAGTGCTGGGATTGCAGGCGTGAGCCACCACGCGTGGCCCAGGTCCTGAATTTATTAAGCACCTATCGGGCATGGGTGCCAGGATGTGCCTGCCAGACCCATTAGCAGCAGTACCACCAAGGATCTTAAGGAGGCAACAAGAAGCAAAATAGGAGATAGGAGAAACTGATGTCACGGAATCACAGTGAGGCAATCACACCATCTTTATAAGCAACAAGATGGCCTTGCTATTATTTTGTAGAAATGACAGAAGTTATGGTGGTCTCTCTTACTGTATCATATATATTTTCTTTACAAATAATGAAGACGCCAACATTGAAATAATTTACCCCAAAGTTCATCTCTTTGTTTTAATGTCTAGGAAAAAAAGATTTTAAAATAAACATTTAGAGTAAAAAATATAATCCAAAGACCAAAAACCTGAAATACCTGGTATATATATTAAAAAAAAAAAAAAAAAAAAAAAAAAAAAGTCTGGCTGGGCATGGTGGCTCACGGCTCTAATCCCAGTACTCTGAAAGGCCCAGGCAGGTGGATCACCTGAGGTCAGGAGTTTGAGACCAGCCTGGCCAACATGGTGAAATCCTGTCTCTCCTAAAACCACAAAAAATTAGCTGGGCATGGTGGTGGGCACCTGTAATCCCAAGCTACTTGGGAGGCTGAGGCAGGAGAATTGCTTGAATCCAGGAGGCAGAGGTTGCAGTGAGCCAAGATCGCGCTATTACTTTCCAGCCTGGGCGACAGAGTGAGACTCTGTCAAAAAAAAAGAAAGAAAAAGGTTCTCTTGCCTATTGTGAAATAATTCATATTCTCACCAGTGGTAAACTAAAGAATTCTGGAAACCCAATAGTAGTTCTTTCAGAAGTTATATCTAGTGAGGTTGTATATTTTCTATTTTCTACTGGCAGACCTAACAAAGATAGACCACGTGCATTTATGAGTTAGTTCAACTGGCTGCAGTATGCCCATAAGCAATTTGGATTTGAGTTTGCGAATGCTGTGTGGTAATAATTTACATGGGGAAAAAAAATGACAGACTACAGAGTTATCAGTATGCTCCATTGATCATATGGTGGAGACGAATATATTTATAGGTTAGGAAAAACCTACAACCACAAAGAAACTTTTCATTAACGTGCATGTTACTCTGATGTTAATGAAAGTCTATTCTTTAAGAAAGCAACATTAAAATAAATAAATAAAAAATAAAATAAAATAAAAAGAAAGCAACATTTCAAAGATCTTTACTACAGCTGGTTAATATATTACTCTACAGTGATCAAGACGAATGTTTACTAAAAGTAATTTTATTTGTAAAACTTAATGTAATGTTTTCTCACCTTTTCTTACACTAAAAACACTTACCTAAAACCAGGAACACCCACCAGAGCCAGTACTGACCATCAAAATATCCAGGAAAATAGGTAGAAAACTAAAAAATAAGGCAAAATACTTTATAGCAGCTTAACAGACACAATTTCTCATTTTAACTTAAGGATATGCAAAATGCAAGACTTCTTTGTTCTACCAATGCCACCACTTAGCCTTTCCAATAATTTTAAAATATAAGTGAAAGTATTTTATATATTACTGACTTGAAATGGTTATAATAAATACAAATCTATTTCCTTTCATGGAAAAGCAATCATTAAATATAATAGCTTTTAGCTTTATGAACTCCTTATTTTGAAAGTATACAAAAATTTGTTTTTTAGAAAACATTTTTGTCCACATAATATTTACCCTTCTAGAAGTATGTTTCAATAATGATTGTTTTACTTTGTTTATTCAGTGCCAAAAGCAATTATTATTATTATTAAGGAGAAAAATCTCACTATGTTGCCCAGGCTTTATTGAACTCCTGGGCTCAATCAAGCAATCCTTCCACCTCAGCCTCCTGAGTAGCTGGGACTACAAGCTGGTATCATTGCCTTCTTTCTAATGAGGACTGATTTTGTTCCAACTCCCCTAGCCTTGTCTTGACTTTGGAAGCTTTATCATCTATACCAGGGTAATCCCCTTCCCTTGCTGGCAACTGGTTTAGGAATGAGCACAGGACACCATTCTGACCAATGGAAATTGAGGGCTTCTGAGAAGGATTCCTTGCTCTTTGAGAAAAAAGGAAGAGAAAAAATAGTTCTCTCTAAAGGTGGTAGAAAAAAATTTTTTAAAATAGTTCTTTTTCTTCCCTTGAGCACCGTTGTGTTTCAGTGTGATACTAATACATGAAACTGCCATCTTTTAACCCGGAGGTGGTGGGGTGGGGAACTATGCTAATATGCTGATATGTCAGCTGTCCTTGCTGATGTCAATGAACCACTGATTTAACTAATCTCCCTGTCAGGGACTTGTTTTCAGGGGAAATGAACTTTCCCCATTTAAAAAAACAATTAAAATTTTTTTTCTAAACCATTCTGAGCTAGTTTTTTGTTACAGTCAAAAGCATCCCACCTGATACAAGTTAATTGATTTGATTTACAGGTATTGATCGACTTAGGACCTATGCAACTTACGACCATTCGACTTTACGACCACAATCGCTAGCCACAACTGCTCCGAGTCTGGCAGCGCAAACATTGCCCAGCTGGGCGTACAACAGTGCGGACCAGCTTCCAGCAGCACTACCATCTCCGCATGCATCATTTCAACTGTACATATAGCCTACTCAACTTACGACCAAATAGTGTTACGACCGGTCTGCCGTCCCAATCGTGGTCGTAAGTCGAGCACTAGCTATACTTTTTAAATGCAGTTGAAAATTTAGTTTGGGGAAAACCAAACAACATTGGAATTAATTTTATTTCTGTTTTCCTTGCAGGATTTGGTGTCCAAGAGTTTAATATAGTTTGAAAATTAAAATATAGTGTTTGATTTGTTAATAAAGTAACAATTAAGATTTAGGGAAGGAATGAAAACCTCTTTAGGGCTCCAGCTCTTAAAGTCCATTATTTTAGATGAGTACATATTAGCTATGTTGGGGAAAAGCTTACAATTTTCATCAGATTCTCAAAGGATTCTGGAACCCTAAAAATGTTAACAAATGTTTTATAATAAATAAGGTAGCACTACTTTGAAAAACTACAGTGGTCAAGCAACACCCATCAGTTAGTTAAGTATGTCAATTTATGATAGATAAACTGGTTTGGTCTATAAGGTTGACAATAGCAATAAATTTATCTGAAATCAGAGGATAATTTAAAAGCCTAATTGCCTAATCTTTTACAACTTTAAATTGCTTCACGCAAATTTAACTAACTGGTAACTCTTAAGTCACTAAAGATATACGTCTTTTTAATTTACTTCAGAAATAGGCTCCTAATGGAGCAGTACTTGTTAAATAGTTTTGACTCCCCAAACATTTTGGCATAACCAATCCTGGAAGGAAGAGGGAAAGAGAAGGAGAAAAGAAAAGAAGGAAGCCGATAGTTAGACTAAAACTGTAACAGAATTAGTGAGAGGAATGGCTGCTTTTGATGAGATATCAAAGAGGTAATAACCTTCCTTTTATTAATAAAACAACTAATTTCAGAACATATACATTATCACTTTATAAACGTTAAAAACAAAGAAAGCAGCTGGTGAACAATATTGATGATAGACCAGTATTCAATAGATTTGACAACAAAACTTGTGTGCATGAATCATTTGCAATTGATTTCAGTTCAGCTTCATCATGAAACCAAAGACAAATCAAAAAGCATTTAACACATTGAAATAACTTTTAAAAAAGCAAATGAAAAATCAAATATTCAAAAATATTCTAATTATTATCTCTCTGTAGAGTCTATCTTTTCTGTTGTACAACTTACCCTGACAATCAGGATCCATTTAATTAGAGAGAGACCAAATCCTGAAATGGCCCCATACCTTCCTGCAGCTGAAGTGGTCAGGCAAAAAGACAGGAAAAACCCAATCCAGTTAAAGAGGAATGCCACTGCAAAAGCAGAGGAGGGGAAAGATGTTAGACATGTCCTGTTACCCAAGAACAAGAGTGCCTTACACCTGCCTCTGCTTAAATGACTTTCCCAAGAATAAAAGCCTGTCCTCCACAACCCTCACCATACATCCATTCTTGTCTTTCCCCAAAAAGCAAACAAGAAAAAAATCCTCCCTATCAGATTTCACACAATTATGTCTACAGTTTTACACAATTATGTCACTTTCAAAAATGCCTTAACAGGCTGAGCACAGTAGCCAGTAGCTCACACCTAGCAAATCCTAGCACTTTGGGAGGCCAACGTGGGAGGATCCCCTGAGCCCAGGAGTTTGAGACCACCCTGAGCAACACAGTGAGGCCCATCTCTACAAAAACTTAAAAAAAAAAAAAAAATTAGCCAGGCACAGTGCACACCTGCAGTCCCAGCTACTTGGTAGGCTGAGGTAGGGGGATCACTTGAGCCCAAGAGGTCAAGAGTACAGTGAGAAGTCACCACACCAGTGCACTCCAAATCCAGCCTGGGTGACAGAGCAAAACCTTGTCTCAAAAGAAAAATAAAAACCAAAAATGAACTAAAAGCAAACCTTAACACTCAACAAACTGTACACTTAGGACCTATGCTTTTTTTTTTTGTGGACTGAGTCTTGCTCTGCCACCCAGGCTGGAGTGCAGTGGCACAATCTTAACTCACTGCAGCCTCTGCCTTCCAGATTCAAGTGATTCTCCTGCCTCAGCCTCCTGAGTGGCTGGGACTACAGGTGTGTGCCACCACACCTAGCTAATTTTGTGTTTTTAGTAGACGGGGTCTGCCATGTTGGCCAGGCTGGTCTTGAACGCCTGACCTCAGGTGATCTGCCCACCGAGGCCTCCCAAAGTGCTGGGATTATAGCTGTGAGCCACCGTGCCCAGCCTTTGACCTCTGCTTTTTACTGTGTGTTATATATATATATATTCCAATAAACAAAATAAATGCCTTCAACATTAAGTAAGTGCCCCCAAATAATCTGGCTCAAGTCACTCATCCTCCTGTTCTCTGAATTTTGACAACTTATATAATCACCTCTAAAAGCACTGCATTTTCTTATCTTTCTAATACAACAAATAAAGGAAATAGTGGCTCACTTCTATGTGAGGCACATGAAAAGATAAATGCAAAATAATATCAAGGTTTCAAAGTCAGGCTGACTTTGATCTGTCAAAAAAAAAAGAAGCTTTCAGAGCAAAATTCATCACACAAAGGCATTTAATTCCTATTCTACAGACTCAAGTATGAGTAGAAGCAATGCATAAGGACCCCATAGACCCGAAAGACAGGGCTTAGCTCATGTAAAAATGCAGCATCCTCATAACTGCTTTAACTATATTTTCTATAGATATTCATGAAATTAGAGGGCAAACAGAAAGTATGTTAAAACAAAGGTATATTAATATACATTCCAGTAAAAGGCATCAAATAAATGTAATGTATTAATATATTAGCTCAACAAGTTATTTTAATTCTGTCAGATTTGCTCATAATCCAAAGCACTCTGGTTTGTTGGGGTTGGTTCTGCTATGCATATATACTTACTGAAAAAAGTTAACATGAAAATCCCATCGTTTCCTATCCTCAGCTGATCAGCATCATCAAAATCATCCCGACCCACAAAATCCTCATCCTAAATGAAAAGAAAAATAATTATGTTTAGGCAAAAGGAAGATATAAAGAAAAATAAAGGGGCAAGTGTGAGTAGCAATGAAAAAAGTTATTGTTTTGACTCAGTTTAAAATTATGAGATTAAAGGCTCAATGTATGTTTAAAATTCCATTTTGCATTATTAGTATACAATTAGAAAAGAAACAAATCTTTCTTCTATCCCCATAGTGTTCTAAATGAAATTTTCATCTTATAACCCAAGTTCTTTAACAATACACACTTCAAAAATGTAAAAGTTCACAAAGAACTTAAAAAACTATATACCTCAGGTGGAGGTATA